ACCGTCTGGTGGGGAAAAAAAATATAGTATGTCTCACAGGACATAGCTGGGCTCTATGAGAATGTATGTGGGTGGGATTTTTTCACTTATAAATGCTCTTCATGTGTAATATATGTTGCATGCTCATCCCAGCACACAAGAGCTCTTCTGTATGCAGTAAGAGGGAAAAAAAAAAGAAGAAGCTGTCAGCACATGCGGTTTTCGGATGAAGCTTGGCACCGCAGCAATGGCATTAGGCTATAAAGTTTCTGTGAATGTAATGTTTCACAGAGCCAAACAAAACCCTAAATGTAGTTACATTTGATTTATTGGAGAGTCTCACATCCTCACGACAAATGTACAGGCAGTGGAAACAGATCGATGAAGTGAGAAGTAAAGAGTGAAGGGTTACGGCTCTGGTCGTCTCAATCTCTTCTTGTCACCCCCGTGCCCTCTGGTGGGTGTGGAAAGTGAGTGTTGAGTGGTGTACATTAGTCACTGATCAAACAAGTGTAGCGTCTGAAGGAAATGGGATAGACACAGCTACATGTTGGAAAATTACTAAGGAAGGAGGCAGAAGGGTGCTGGGGTTCGATCCATGTGGAACAGACAGTTTATTCAGTATTTTATTTTTTCTAATTTGTGTAAATCCGGGAGGCATTTCCCCAATGTGAGAACAGTGAAAGAAAGATAAACTTCATCCTGTTTGTAGAGTTGAGTCAGCGTATGAGTATTTATATGAAGCTCACTAAACGGTATACTTTTGGGCATTTTTAAAAATAAGTCTGCAAGTGTTCCATCAATCCCGGACTTGTCAAGCCATAGGAAAAGTCTGTCTTCCCCCTCAGGTTGCTCTGTCAGTTGAAGTGCTGGCACAGGCACTGTAATGGCCAACTGCATTAATTGAACTTCCAAACTGTCAAAGTACACCTTAAAGGATATTGACAGTCCTCGAGAGACTCTTGAATAATTCTGAGCTCATTTTGCTTCGTTCCACCAGGTGCTAACATCCTGAGAGACTCCTCGGGGAACGTGAAGCTGGGAGACTTTGGAGCCAGCAAACGTATCCAGACCATCTGCATGTCTGGTACAGGAATCAAGTCTGTCACGGGCACCCCCTACTGGATGAGTCCTGAAGTCATCAACGGGGAGGGATACGGCCGGAAGGCTGATGTATGGTAAGGAAAAGATCAGATGGAACTGTAATGAGGCCCAAAGGGGATATTAGACTGTTGCAGCACAAAAATACACATTAGTAAAGCAGTAAAACTATCTCTGTGGTTGAGTGGTAAAGCAATAAATTCAGTGGGAACAGTGTTGGAGGTATGTGTGCATGTGAGCAAATACCTTTAAACATGTCAATACCACACAGAGCGGAATAAATCAACATGAAGTCCTGTTAAATATAGTGTAATCAAATGCAATAGCAAATGCATATCTTAGTTAGTTTTGTGAGATTCAACTGTGTTAAAGAAGTGTGAGTTATTAGCACTATACAGGAGAGCTGTACCTATAAAAATAAAACACATTAATATGAACATGTGATATATGAATCAATAGATTTGTCTTTTTGGTCCTTATTGTTAATGTCAAAATGAATGCTCTGTCCTAAATGCAATACAGCAACAAAGATGTCCAGGTAGATAGGTGGTAAATCGAAGAACTTAATGGTGGTATGTGCGTGAGCAAATGGTGGAGACAGTTAAGTCCGACAAGTACACTGTCACTACAGCTGTCAAATACAAGACATAAACGCTAACTGAAATTTGTTTTAGAAAACAGAAATATTGGCTAATAAATACTCGATTCGTGAAGCTCATAATGTTCACTGTTCCACCTATAGGGGAGATAACACGATATACAGACTGCTATGAAAAAAAGATTTAAATCTTAAAAATATGGTTGAAGCACTCTGACAGTCCGACAGTCATAAATCAATTAAAAAATTCATAAAACTAAAAAGTATTTGTAATGTTACTGTGTACAACCTCAGGACGTACAATAAAGATCCTATGATATAAATACACACGCCTTAATGGATATTAGGCTATGTTAATGTACAGTGTTAGTCATGTTGGATTATATAAGATGTACTGACAATCAACTCTGCTGGATGCTCTTTTCCTCAGGAGTGTTGCTTGCACTGTTGTGGAAATGCTGACCCAGAAACCTCCTTGGGCGGAGTATGAGGCCATGGCGGCCATTTTTAAGATCGCCACCCAGCCTACAAAGCCCATGCTTCCAGAGGGTGTGTCCGACGCGTGCAGGGACTTCCTGCGGCAGGTGTTTGTGGAGGAGAAGTGGCGGCCCACTGCAGACGTTCTGCTCAGCCACCCGTTCGTCCAGGGCAGCTTCTGAGGCCTAACGGACCCCCTTCCCCTCCCCTGCCTGCGAGGCCTCCATGGCCCCGGTGCCTCCCCTCCTCTCCGGCCCGCCCCGTCCCCAGGGCCCCCCCCGCGTCACCAGGCTCCAGGACTCAGCACCACTCCAACTTCCTGCCCTGTCATGTATCACCAGTGTCTGCCTTGTCAGGACCCCTGCATTTCTCACCAACTAGCTCAACCCGGATAATTCACTGAGAGGCCAGGTTGACTGCTGTCAGATCTCCAGAGTCCTCAAGGCATAGCAGCGAGTTCCCTCAGGACGGGACTGGCAAGAAAGCACTTAGCAGTCTCACAAGCAACAGAATGCTTTCTTATATCAAGAGCAGGAAAAGTGACCCACGTTAGAGAGAGAGAGAGAGAAGTGATGTCTCAAGTTTTCTGGGTCTTTACACTCATCTACTGCCGCAGAAAACAGTGTCTAGGAATGGCCAGGCACCATGTAATCGTGACTGACTGGTGATTTATCACATCTGATAATACTGTAAGTTACTCATCAGTCGACGTTAGCTGTGAGTGAAATTAAGATGGTAAAATATTTTTATATGCCACATGCAAAGTCATCTTAGCAGATGAGTTTTCTATTGTCACCTAGAAAAAAAATGTAAATGTATTTTCGTCAACGCCTTACAATAAGAATTTGTAAGTAAGAATGTCTTTTTTAACATCTTAGAGGGTTGTATTACCCTATTTTCATAGCACTCACAACCCCATTTAGAAGGACTGTCAACATTGCACTTTTGATATCATGCATTGAAACATTTCCAACATGCAGGATAATCAACTGAGGAGATATTTTTCTATTTGATGCATTTTTATATGATTTCATAAAGAACAAATTGTGTAGTTTGTTCCAATGTAAAGAAGAAAAAAACCAAACTTTTGCATTAGTGTGCAATGTCTGTTAAGCAATACCAACAGTACTGTTGGAGTCTGTGACATCCATTCCAGCGTCCCATGCAGTGAGCCTTGTTCCATTCAGAAAGGCCAAAGAAAAGTTGCAGAGACAGAAGCTTTCATGGATATTAGGCTAAGTTAATGTACAGTATTAGTCATGTTGGATTGTTTTGTCACCTCAGAGCCCTGTAGCCTTGTCTATGTTATGGCAGCTTCGTGCACAGTAGACTGCACAGACCAAATCAGATGCATTGACATCACATTATGTTGCTATAAAAAAAGATCGTGAAATTAGCATGAAGGAAGCATCCCATTTACATTTTTCGTTGTAAATTCAATATGAATCCAGTCACCCCATGCCTTTACTTTGCTTTTCACACTATACGAATGGGTCACTTAATGACCACTTGACAGCACAGCTTGCTATGTGTCATGTCATGTGAGATAAAGCATAATATAAGTTGCCAAAAAGGGTCAAGTTGGAAAGACGGGGCTAAATGCTGTATTCTTGTAAGTGGAGATGAGATAAAACTTTGGGGGGATTGATGTTGGATGTGTAGTGGCTAGCTGTAATACAGTGGCACTTAACAGATGATCAAATCTTTTTAGACCTTTGTCAGTGCCTTATCTGAATCTGCTTGTAAACACAAATGTTCACTGCCAAAGCGGGAAGCTTCTTAATAAAGTGAGCAGCTGTTCAGTAGAGAACACACACAACAATTGCTGAAGTTGTTTTTATATGGAAAAAAAAAGATTATCTGTAAATACATATTGTTCTGCACTTTTGTATGAAATTTCTTTTACATTATATACAAATCTATTTGATGAAATAGCTACGTTATACAGTAGATTGTACTGTGATTTAGACAGGAGGATGTATGATTGTCTCTTTGAGAGCTGTTAGGCAGTATGAAAAGGCTGGGAGGCTTTTGATTGGGACAGTCTGTTTTGTCTGAATGACAAAGCCTTGAAACATGAAATGTATCAAGTCGTTGATCTTTTGTACATTTAACTTAATAAATCAAAGGTCTAAGACTATTTCCTGAGTGATTTTATTGTCATTTTCTGATCGAATTTCCCCACACCATGCTGCTGTCTTTGTTTTAACCATTTTTAACTGATATTTCCATTATTAAATATATCCAGAGTATGTATCAATTTCAACACTGAGTTGCCTTTCATTTTTGTATGACATTATCTGTTCTTTGTGCGAAACTATTATCACAAACAACATCCATCCAAATTAGGCCTAATTATTGAAAAAACCTTGACTCACTTAAGTATTAAAGCTATTTTCCTGATATTTTCCTCACAAAAGAAAACTGAATCATTTGACTGAATCTTAAATGAAAAATGTCTAATTAAACTAACCAAGATACCATTCGTCCTTTCTGGCTCATAACAGATTAAACAATTACCATTATGATATAGACCATATTACGGTATCATTTTTAAACGTACTTTTAGACTTACATACACTATAGTACTACTAAGAACAACAGAAAAGGAAGAAACCTTACAGGCCTTCTAAGTGGAAAATAATTAAAACTACATTCAATAAAATAAACTATAAATAGCATGAAACACAGACTTAAAATGTGAAGCATTAATGAAAGCACTGGAGGTGTGCAACTCAATTAGCTAACAACAGAAACGTATTCGCAGCTTGAGGCAGCTGTTAGAAAACGACCTTACAAAACCCGACGTTGTGTAACGTCGTGTCTGAAAACGTGAGGGGGACGCTCGACACGAGAGAACTCGCTGGTGAGAGAGACAACACATCTCTCTGAAACGAAGCGAGTTATTTGTTTCAGACAAAACTACTGCTGCATTATCGAAGACGAAAAGCATGTCTACTTCCCGTACAATTATATGTTTATTGAGAAACGACTTGCGTCTCCACGACAACGAGGTAAGAGTGTGAATCTGTTATGAATCCAGTTATGAAGTCCGACGTTATTTAACATCAGAAAACCTAATTAAATTACAAGTAAACGTACCCACTAACGGTATGTGTTTAACGCTTTGCACTTGATGTGTTAACATCGTTACGAGAACATTTTGAAAACATTATGTAGCATGTTTGCTGCCAGAATCAAGCCATTTTTGTTTTGCCAGCTGCAACAATTACACATCCGGTACAAAGCTATGAAAATAAGAGCTTAATTTTCAAATTAAATGAACACAATATTTACATGCGTCCAAAAAACATAATAAGTTATATCAGAAATATTCTTATGTCTTTTATTCTTACATTGTAAGATTAGGCCTAACTTGTTGAGATAGAAAAAAAAATCTCCAGTCATTCGGCAAGCCAGAATGTATCATACATAACGTGTACGACTCCTGGAAAGGGTTTTCAAAATAAGAGACAGAAGTTACCAAACAAAATTGTATCCAGGGAAAATGCATTTCCTTACTTTAGGCTTACAGCAGCTTAAACTGAATCAACCGTGCTATATGTGTTTTTCTTTTTCTTTTTTTTTCTTCTATTTTTTTGCTGTCACTTTAATCAAGCCATGATCACTTTGTATATGCAGCTTTTCCATTGGGCTCAAAGAAATGCAGAGTACATTGTTCCACTGTACTGCTTCGACCCCAGACATTATGCGGGAACATACAACTACAACCTCCCAAAGACTGGGCCTTTCCGCCTGCGCTTCTTACTGGAGAGTATCAGAGACCTCAGAAACACACTGCTCAACAAGGGCAGGTAATTAAACTATCATTCGCTGACTGATCCTCCTGTATATGACCTCAATTTTATTTAATATTAGACTTTCTCAACAGTTCAGCTGTCTTTGTTATAGCACTTAAGCACCATCATCTGTTTACAAATTTTGAAAAATGATCATGAACTTATGTGTCATGTTATTGTTACACATACGCTCAGTGCAGACCTCTGTTTTCTAGGATTTCACCGGTACAGATATAACAGGATCAGGACACACCTGGGCTTATAGGGGGTCATGTTTACATTAACATGTCTGCTGCACACACTGTTCCCATCATTTTTTCCGGTCAGCAGGGGCTTGTGGGGGGGTGGGGGGGGGCTCTACCCAGGATGCAGCTTGCCTGGCATGGTGTGAACTGGGACTTATGTGTATGTGCGTCTGTGTGTTTATTTTTGTGCGTGTGCGCTTGTATGACAGCAACCTGGTGGTGAGACGGGGTAAGCCAGAGGATGTTGTTGCCGAGCTCATCAAGCAACTGGGCTCTGTCAGCACGGTGGCTTTCCATGAAGAGGTAGTTCTAAACAGTTTCTCTCTTTTTAGCATTAATAATCACAACTTTATTGCACTGTCTGGTGATTCTGACATAGTCCTTCATGTGTTCATGTCCCAGGTAACATCAGAGGAGCTGAATGTTGAGAAAAAGGTGAAGGATGTCTGTGCACAGATGAAGGTCAAAGTTCACACCTGCTGGGGGTCCACACTGTACCACAGAGATGATCTTCCATTTCATCACATATCTAGGTGAGGGAGGACATTGCTTGCTTAAGACAAAACATTCAGGCACTGCTCAACATCCTGTTGTTATGTAATTTGCTTGAAAACAAAAGTATAGAGGATATTGTACTTTTTAATAGTGTACAGTTTAAGAAGTGTCAAGTCCTGGGAATGTCTTGTAATATTTCCTCCTGGTCTGTTAGCCTCCCTGATGTGTACACTCAGTTCAGGAAGGCAGTGGAAACCCAGAGCATGGTGAGGCCTGCGTTTCCAACACTCGAGCAGTTAAAACCTCTTCCTTCAGAGCTCGAGGAAGGAGCCGTTCCCACAGCACAGGAGCTGCAACAGACAGGTGAACGTCCTAATATCTTATTATGCTCAATACAAATAGTTTTGATTTAAACAGGATCTCTTGGGCTCTTCCTTTGTGTCTTCGTGTACAGAGAAATTACAGAAAAGTCCTATACATTGATTTTATGTGCTTATTAAATTGACTTTTGTGTAAATGTCTTGACATGCTGCTTCCAGTTAGGAAGCACAAATGGTCCAATTAACGGAGTGGCTCAATTAAGGAAATCAATACTGCCACTATTTTCAGTATTCAACAGAAAAACTGCTGAGCACAGATTTCCTCATTAAGTGCCAGCGAGCAGACTGGTTCGATTTCCATGTATATGATTGAGCTTTTATGATTCTGTGTGTCTTAGTGTACACCGGGGACTGTTTAACATGATTGAAGCAGCTTGATGCTGAAATGCTTTGCGGTGTTATTCTTACAGAGCCGTTGACTGATCCTCGCTCAGCCTTCCCCTGTAGTGGTGGTGAAAGTCAGGCTCTGGCCAGACTCAAACACTATTTTTGGGATACTGTGAGTACAAGATTCATTACAAATGGACACTAACTTATTTTTATAAAGCAGTAAAATAAAATAAAAAACCCTCCTGTAGTGATGTATAATCTACTATGTAGGTGTAATAAATATAGTGAATGTCTGTTTTGTAGGATGCAGTTGCAACTTACAAGGAGACTCGTAATGGCTTGATCGGTGTAAACTATTCCACTAAATTTGCACCTTGGTGAGTGTAATTGTTTTATTTCCTCTACTGCTAAAAGCTTACTAGAGTTTAATGTTGTGTGTAAGTCATAAAGATATCCCTAATGGTGCTGCACTGGCATTCTGCAGGCTGGCGATGGGTTGCATTTCACCCAGGTACATTTATCACCAGATCAAGCAGTACGAGAGGGAGCGGACAGCCAATCAGAGCACATACTGGTGAGTATGGAGTAAGGACAGGAATATTTAGATGGATTTAATACAAAACAATAAACACTATAATAGGGCCATACCGGTAAAGTATGTGCAAATGCTCACCAGTAGTTCCGGTGTTGCCTCTGTAGCTGATGATATAAAGCTTTAATGTGTCAAATGTATAGGTACTTTGGAACAATGACCAGTTTTTCATAGATTTATCATAGACCACTACTGAATCACAAATAATACAAATTTGTTTCACTCTCCGACGTCTTCACTGCTGTCTTACAGGGTGATTTTTGAACTTTTGTGGAGGGATTACTTCAAGTTTGTGGCTGTCAAGTATGGGAACAGACTATTTCAGCTCAAAGGTAACATTAGCTCAAGTTTCTATATCTTATTTTCTTTATGCATTATAAATGAATGTAAAGCTGATATCAGGGTCACTTTACCTCAGGACTTCAAGACAAATCTGTGCCACGGAAAAAGGACATGAAGCTTTTCAATGCATGGAAAGGTTTGTACCATACATTTCCCCCGTCATTGTTTATAAAATATTCTTCATTAAATAGCAATAAGTGGCTTTAAGAAGTGTATTAACAGTATAGTGTATGTTTTAAGAATATTTACATACATTTCATCATTACAGATGGAAGAACAGGAGTGCCCTTTGTGGATGCCAACATGAGAGAGTTGGCGATGACAGGTTTCATGTCCAACAGGGGGCGGCAAAATGTTGCCAGCTTCCTCACAAAGGATCTGGGCCTGGACTGGAGGATGGGAGCAGAGTTGTTTGAATACCTTCTGGTAAGTATTTTAGTCCAGGGTTTGAGTCAGACTGGAAGTTTTGAAAAGTGAAATTGTATTTTTAAGACATAACTAATCATGTAATGTATGAATTATTTTATTGTTATGTTGTAAAATATTTTATTTTAAGTCTCATTATTTTAAATTTCCCTTCAAAGATTGACCACGATGTCTGCAGCAACTATGGCAACTGGTTATACAGCGCTGGTATAGGAAATGACCCCAGAGAGAACAGGAAATTTAACATGATCAAACAAGGCCTCGACTATGACAATAATGTGAGTTTGACAAGAAGCATTAATTGTTTACGTATGTCATTTTGCTTTAACATTTTCTCTGGAGTTTGGAGTTGTTTGCATTACAACAAGTAATGTCACACTTAATCACTGGTTGTGTTGCTGTCACATGACGGTGATGAAACCAGTACAAAAGGAAACAAAGTTTTGGTATGGAAATTTCAGTCACTGATTTATTAATTATCGCGCGGTCACCCATGCGTCTGCTTCAGGGTGACTACGTCCGGCAGTGGGTTCCAGAGTTGCAGGGGATCAGGGGAGCTGATGTGCACACACCTTGGACCCTCAGCACTGCTGCGCTGTCACATGCTCATGTGTCCCTTGATGAGACCTACCCCACCCCCATCGTCATGGCGCCTGAATGGAGTAGACACGTTAACAAGAAATCAGTAGGTGTTTTGGAAAAAAAGGAAGTGGATAGTGAGATTGTGTGCTGCGGCTGGAATAGATTTTTTTTTTACCTTTATGGCTGCATACAACAGTGGTGGAATGTAAGTAAGTGCATTAAGTGCTTTAATGTACAATTTTTGAGGTACTTGTACCTAACTTGAGTATTTCTATATTATGTTACTTTATATTTCTACTCCCCTACAGTTCAGAGAGACACATTGCACTTTTTACCACTGACAAATACAATTACTTGTTGCTTTTCAGTTAAAAGTTTTATTTAAAACATATCCGGTTTTACCAAACCCGGTCAGTTACCGGGAGAGCTCTGTTGAACTCCTATCCAAATTAGAATCATATGTGCTTTATTACTACAGCTAAGCTGTGCAAACCTGTGCGAAAAGCTAGTAAATACCGGAAAACCAACTAAAAAGCAAAGCCAACCTATAGATGAGCAGTTCTCTGAAAATAGTCAAGGTGACGAACACAAGCTAGACAAAGCCAACTTAATCTCGGCTCCATATTATGTGCCTCATCGCAGATTTGTCTCTCTGTCTACTTTTAAACCTTCACAATAAGTGCAAATGTTTATTTCAACTTTTTTATTTTTTTCAGGGCGGCACAGGGCCTTCACCCAGAGGAAAGAGAGGCCCATCTCACACTCCCAAACAGCATCGTGACCGAGGCATAGATTTCTATTTCTCCAGGAGCAAAAATCTGTGATCTGCCTCAAAGCAAACACTAAAGACGCGATGATGCTCAGAGGATGGAAGTTCCTGTGATGCCAACCTGGACTGTTGCTGTACGATCTGTGTTGCACACTGAGGTGTCGAGTGAGGGAAGTTTTTTCATGAGGATTTGAGGAAATACATGTTCCAACTTACACTTTAATAGTTGAACTTGACTAATGTACATTTATGCTATCTCTCAAAATATGGGTTTTGTGAAGCACCTTTCATAGACTTTCTGCTGTTTCCTGTCATGCTGCAGCATCAGGGAAAGCCACACCGGTTTTGTTTTATTGGAGTGGATCAGTCACAATGATCTCTTTACTTTTTGTGCAGATTATTTTCTTGCAGTTTTCTTACGCCGGCTTGGATACACTCTTGTTGTTACTTTGTATTAACTTTTAAGGTTTGCCTATTTGTGGCAGTTGCAAAATAAAACACGAAACGTGAGAATTTTTCTTATGTGATTTTGTTATGAAACGTAGTAAATTACACCCTTTCAGCATTACACTCAAACTTCAAATGTTGATTTAATGTTATATTAAATATTATAAAATAGTCAATATAATGTGATAGTAGCAGGAAATTAACAACTGTAGTCTTGTGGAAGTGAACTTCTTGGGCAGTGGTTTCGGTGGGTAAAAAGCTCATATCCTCCCGTGTGACACAGTCCATTGCAAAGATCATTTGACATCACTTCCTTGTTCTGTAGTCAGGTCAGCTGTGGACCCCTGAGACAACTTGGCACTTCAAATCACCCACTCTGTCATTAGTATATTTACTTTTTTTTTGTATTTTAACTAACGCCCGCAGTCCCACAGAGGTTCCCAAAAACTCTTTAACATGGCTTATGCTGATTCAGACGTTGACCTGGAGCAGATTCCTCTCATCGCACTGAATGTGACTGTGAGGAAAAAGTTAGGGCTTTACCTTAATCCCAGAAATGCAGTTGCCGCGGACTGGATGATTGTTGCAGAGGCCATGGACTTCAGTTACCTGGAGATAAAGAACTATGAAGCAGCGAAAAACCCCCCACCAGAGGGGTTCTGGACGACTGGCAGGCTCGGGCCACACATGCGACGGTGGGAAAGTTGTTGTCAATCCTGACGAAGGTGGAGAGGAATGACATTGTGGAGGATCTTCACCCTTTGATAGGTGGGTTTAAGTTATTCTGGCAATCTTCCGTTGTTCTTTTTTCCGTTAATATATATCAGGAAAAGTGCATAATATCTACCACTTTATAGATTAAGCTTGTTTACATTGCATGTTCCGTTCTTGTACTTCAGGAAATTCTTCAAATCCCTGAATTTGCTTATGGCAAAAATTATCTACACACGTAAATTAGAATTTAAATGGAAATATTTGCTCAAATCGGAGCCAGTCCTGACCTCCCAGGGGCCCTTGGCAATATTCAGCTCATTGGCCCTCCTGACCTGTAAGCCATGTAAACCTGACACCACAGTGTTCCCACTACAACCTTCCCTCCTTTAAAACAATTTGCTCCATCCAGCCATCTACTTTGGCTTGGCTGAATACTTGATGGGTATTTTTGACTGAGAGAGGTGCATCCATATTTCCCCTTATGCCCAACTAATCAACATTTTAAATTCAAAATTTTTTATCAATAGTCAATGTCAATCCATTGCTTTCTATCTTGCTTCAGTCCAGAGTTTCAACTAAACCTTGAATGTGAGAATTGTCATGTTTTCATAGTATGTGCGCCATCAGGGATATGATGATATATTATGGTTTCTGCTGGAAAGCGCGTTTCATTACGTGCACGCGCATTTGAATTCCTGTTAATACTTTTCTATGCTGCAGTTTAAAAACACCGTTGACTGTATCATAAGTTAAAAAAATAAAAATAAATAAAAAAAAAAAAAAAACTGTATTTCACTCTCACTGTTGTCAGGCACAGAGTCACGTACAGCACCCTGGAAGTGTTAGGTAAGCAAGACAGATAGACCGACAAGGAGACTGCCCCGGAGTCTACGTCCGTGTTTAATACAGTCAATGGTGAGCGTTCAGGGCGTAGACTCTATGGTACAGGACAGCCTGGCTCTGGCTCGAATTGTTAATGTATTAATAAGCTCAAAATGTATTTTCAGTCCAGCTGTTTCAATAAATTTGTATTCAAAGAACATTTCAGATAGTTCTATCCACTTCCAGGATGCAAACCTCTGTATTTGTGGTGGTGTTTAGGTGTTGTTCACACATATCCTACTCTGTATCATCTCTTGTGTAGCAGATGAGGATGTCAGGAGACATTGTGAGAGTCTTGAGAAGAAGATTGAAGTGGACGGATGTTTCCCTCGCATCCCTGAGAGGAATGATGTCACCCTAAAGATTGGCCCCGAAGGTCAGTATTTGTATAAGCTTCATTTTTGTTGTTTTCTTGTTTGAAATGCAATCCAAATAGAAGGACGTCCCATTGGTTGAACACAACGATTTGTGTCTATATACATATCAGAGACAACCCTGCAGTCCAACCTCTGTCCGCATTAATCACATCACTTCAGAAACACATATTGTGCATAATTCAGCACAATTTAACTAATCATTGCTTCTCTTTAAAATGTTTATGACGTTGTTGCTGTAGCTACATTTGTGCTGCTTTTTAGGTTACAAAGTACCTCCAAAATCCAGAATATGTCAAGTTATTCTGGTCAGAGACAATAAGCGGTGATGGAAAATAACTGAGTTCATTTAGCATAGTATTATAATTAAAAACTATTTTAAGGCACATGTACTTTTATTTGTGTATTTCCATTTTATGCAGTTTTATACATCTACTTCGCTACATTTAAATATTGTACTTTTTACTACACTACACTTATCCGACAGTAATAGTTAATAGTTACTTATTTGCAGATTAAAGTTTCATACGAAGGAATTTATGATCAGCCTCTAAAATATGATGATTTCTTGTCCACAACAGTAAATGAATCTGTCTGTGAATGTTCTCATTCGTCCAGGTCATAGTTATCTCTCTCTCAAATTGAATCGAAGGCAACTGGCCCTTATCCAAGCGGCTTCATCCTGAAGCCGCTTGGATAAGGGGCGAAACGTCTTCCACAGACAAATACAAGTCCAGTTGCCTTCGATTCAATTTGAGAGAGAGATAACAGTAAATGAAGTAGTTCAAAATAGCTCCACCCTAATCAGCTACAACAGTAAAATTCTGCTCACATGTTAATGCATCTGTAATAATAATACAAAAATGTAAAATATACAAAATTACAACTCTGATTTGGGCCATTTTGCATTATAAGAACATTCACTATTACGTGCAACAGAGTACATTCATAGTGGTATTAATACTTTCACTTAACGTTACTTTCATTTCAACTAAACAGATGAGTGAGTTACCATTTCAAACTGCACTTTGAGCTGTTGTACTAGAACAAAAAGGATAAAATGTATAATTAATTTATGAACTGAAAGTTGCTGCAAACGTTCTGTTTGACTTGTTAGTGCTTGCAGTCCATTCAACACCACGAGAACAGATCATAAGTTTGCATAAATGCATGTCAGCCGAAACAAGTGAAAGTAGCAACACTGCAGAATTAGTTTTCCAAGTTTCTCATGCATACATGTTGGATCACAAGCTGTGGCGCAATATCGGTCTTAAAGGGATAAACAAAGTTGTGTTAATGAATTTAATCAAACTGAATGGATTCCAGGTACTCCTGAGCTGTTTGATGCCTTCATCTGCCACAGCCAGAGTGACTTTGAGTTTGTCCACGAGGCGATCCACGAGCTGGAACAGTCCAAGTTGCAAATGTGTGTGTTCGGCAGAGATGTCGATGCTTTGAACTTGAAAAATTGACTAAGAAAACACTGGCACATGGAGCAGGGTCTGGTCCTTAAACTCCAAGTAGGTTGGCACAAACAAACAGAGCAGCCAAAGCAAAGTCACATTAATCTGACGTCTTCACTGCTGTCTTACAGGGTGATTTTTGAACTTTTGTGGAGGGATTACTGCAAGTTCGTCGATTTCAATGCATTTACATGCATTATAAATGAATGTAAAGCTGATATCAGGGTCACTTTACCTCAGGACTTCAAGACAAATCTGTGCCACGGAAAAAGGACATGAAGCTTTTCAATGCATGGAAAGGTTTGTACTGTTTTTTCCCCGTCATTGTTTGTAAAATGTTCTTCATTAAATATTAATTAGTAGCTCTAAGAATTGCTTTGCAAGTGTATGAACATATTTACACATATTTTATTATCACAGAGGGAAGAACGGGAGTGCCCTTTGTGGATGCCCAAAATGAGAGCGTTGGCGGTGACAGGTTTCATGTCCAACAGGGGGCGGCAAAATATTGCTAGCTTACTTGCAAAGGATCTGGTCCTGGCCTGGTATAAGGGAGCTAAGTGGCTTGAAGACTCTCCGGTAAGAAGTGTAGGCCACGGTTTAAGTCAGATTGGAAGTTTTGAAAAGTGAAATATTTATTTTTAAGACATAACTAATCATGTACTATATGAATTAATTGCTGTTATCTTGGGAAATACCTCAGTCAAATTTTCCTCCAAAGATTGACCACGATGTCTGCAGCAACTATGGCAACTGGTTATACAGCGCTGGTATAGGAAATGACCCCAGAGAGAACAGGAAATTTAACATGATCAAACAAGGCCTCGACTATGGCAATAATGTGAGTTTGACAAGAAGTATGAATTGTTACAACACAAAATGTCACACTTTATCGCTGATGGTGTTGCTGTCACACAATGATGATGAAACCAGTACAAATGTGAACAAAGTTATAGAAATTTGATATGGAAATTTCAGTCATTGATTTCATTATTATTGCCTGGTCACCCATGTGTCTGCTTCAGGGCGCCTACGTCCGGCAGTGGGTTCCAGAGTTGCAGGGGATCAGGGGAGCTGATGTGCACACAGCTTGGACCCTCAGCACTGCTGCACTGTCACATGCTCATGTGTGCCTTTGGTGAGACCTACCCCACCCCCATCCATCGTCATGGCGCCTGAATGGAGTAGACACGTTGACAAGAAATCGCTGAGTGTTTTTAAAAAAAGGAAGTGGATAGTGAGATTGTGTGCTGCTGCAATAATAGATTGTTTTAACCTTTATGGAAACTGTATTTACTTGGCTTTACTTTACTAAGTACTTTATGTAAAATTTTTGAGGTACTTTTACTTTACTTTATGGCTGCATACAACAGTGGTGGAATGTAAGTAAGTACATTAAGTGCTTTATTGTACACTTTTTTGAGGTACTTGTACTTAACTTGAGTATTTCTATTTTATGTTACTTTATATTGCTACTCCACTACAGTTCAGAGAGACACATTGCACTTTTTACCAGTATATTCATTTGACAGATACAACTTTACCATTAAAGTTTTCCCTAAAACGAAATATGATACGCCCATAAAATACAATGTATTGTTAAATATTTAACCAGTGGTTCCC